TCGCAAACAAAAGAACAAGCGCCGACACGACAGACCCAGTCATCCTGAAAACACAATAGTGAACAACGTCAGCAGTATATGTGTAAAGCAAAATTGGTACGTTAAAACAAATAGTAGGATTTATCAGCGCAATAGGACCCTATTAGACTTTGCACTGTGTTGGACGATAGCATTCCGGAAGGAGGAAGGCTTAGCACAATTGAATAGTTTTTTTTTCAGTTTCCCTTTAGTGCTATTAGACCGATAATCTGCACCAGATAATGGTGTATCGACGAACGGTTGCTCGCTGTCGGCTGAAGAATTCCCCGGTTAAAGGCTGCAGAGAAGGCACTATCGACCTCAAGATCTCAGAGTCTGCGAACCCCATCGGGCCGTTAGATAGCTTGCGCAGTACCGATACCCAAATTTCGGCAAAAGTTGGCATGCATATAGAATACTAGTTATGGATCTCCTAAGCAAAGGGTAGCTTTGCATAATTATAATATTTTGGGTAGGCTATTCCACATTGCGTTGGCGTTAACTGAAAAGAACTGACGGTAATCAACTGCGTGTGCCAAAGGAAAAAATCAATAGAGAGCTTAGTGAATGCTCTAATGTAGTAAGAGGATTAAAAACACGACTGTCTAAAAAGTAAAGCACTAAACTAGTTACCTCTGTGATCGAAAAAACCACAACGGATCAAGGTTTGTAAGCTCACAAGGCTGTTGGAACGTCGGGTATGGTGTTCCTGGAATGCAACTCTTAGTAAAAAAAATGATAGATATACTTTCTTTTCTTCCGTTTACTAGCACATAGAACGCTAAATAGCAACAGGCAGTATTCTAAATTGACCTTAACGTATGTACCTAAATCTGGCTTCTAATATGGGTGATTTTAAGAATTTGGGGGTAGACCCGGTAGGTCGGCGTGCTTTGGGGACAATCAAGCAGCAATGCTTAGGTAGATTTAGACCCCTCAATATGATAGGCCCAAACGCTTAATAACCCCGAGCACCTTTAGTTCGTGACCGTCTATGCTTAGTTTAGGCTGATGATTGTCCTCAATAATAATAACGGAGAATTTGTGCCACGAAAGGGAAAGGCAACATATGCAGAAACACTGGGAAAAGGACTCAAACCCATATTTTAATAGTTCGAGCACAATATTTCGGTCTCCGGTTAGTATTGATAGGCAACTCTCAAATCATCAGCATTGTTTAATACATTCTTTGCAAAGCATGTTACGACGGAATCCAAACCGGTCCTGTCCTTTCAGCCACGCTTAGTCCATATTATCAGTACCATTGATTCCTCCGTATAATTAATTAGTAAGCACATCGTTCGTCTAAAAACACGCACTCTTCGGAAACTGACGGTATTTCAAACTCAGTTATCAAGAGAATATCGAGCTCCCCCGATTGCTCAGTCATCTATTCTCAAACATTTTGTTTCCCAACTCATTGAAA